CCAGAAAAGATAAATATGTGTAAAATTAAAAGCATTTGTCTAATTTTTACAACACTAGGCTTCGTTAAACAGGTCTCAGGTCACCACGGAGATTTTCTCGGCAACTCGAAGTCCGATCAAATCGAGGTTGTTTTGTTAGATAATTAAATGTGTTGAATTTTTAAAAAAAATATGAAAATTAGACCACCAATTTCAATTTTAGGGACGAAAAACGGAAGCTTTGTCCAAAAAATGTTTCAGTACTTCGGCAACACATTCTTTCCAGCGACGTTGGAACTTCTCGATACAGCTTTCAGTGAGACTCCAAAATAATCATTATTGGATGGTCATAAAACCATTCTGTTCTTCGAGGAATTAATGAGTATATGAAATTATCGTAATATGTAAAAAGTCTTTATTCTAAACCAAGCTACAGTAACAAATATAGGATTACAATTCGCAAGATTGTAACAAAGTAATTATAATTTGAAAACAAAGTTAGATTGAGAGAAGTCTGTTAGTAGTCTGTAACTAAGACTGCAGTCTCACAATGCTACGAGCTAAAGTGACCGCCGGAGAGTAACTGTCACTAATGTTTAAATTGTTGCCTCCAGTAAGACAATGTTAGCCTTAAACAATCAGGTTTGAAGCAGTTTCAATAACAAATTTAATATAACACTTCGGCTTTGTCAGATCTTATAACTACTAAGTGTTTAGCTAACTAAATTTTTTGCAACAGTTGAAATAATGTAGTAATTTAAGACTGCAACAAAAATATTTTATTCTGCCTAATGATATTTTTTATCTTTTTAATAGCTTGTGTTCGTTTTTATTAATTCCATTTATTGATTGTAACTTTTCATAGCAAATTTTTAAGTGTTTCTTTAATGTATACTAGTTTTTGCCCGCGACTTCGTCCGCGTTAGTTTGGTCAAGAGTAATATATGTAGGTATAGCTGACCGGGCGAACTCTATTCCGTCTAAGAGGCCATAAATAATCAGGTTTTTCCTGTTTCAATCAAACAGAATAATTGACATATTAGTTAGTTGTCAAATCTAATGTCAAAAAAAACGTTTGTACCTTCCCTGGACTTCCAGGAGTATTTCAAGACTAAAATTAGCCCAAGGAACAGCAAGCCATTTTTATATATATATACAAGATTACTTTTAACTACTTTAAGACTTGATACTAACAAAACACATTTATTTGACGATATTTTTGAAGAAGACGTTAAATTTCATAGTTAAAAAATGCTCACTGCATGTTTAAATAAGTTTATATAAGTCACCTATCAATCATCAATACAAGGCTAATATTACGATAGAAACATCAACAATTATATGGGGTCATAAAACAATCATGAAAACTGCAAGCCTTCCCAACATAGACAGCTATAACTCTTTGAGATTAATTGGATGTGAAATTAGTGTTTTCTGTTCATAACACAGGGACGTAATGAATTTTTATATTGCATTCTTTGTTTTTAATGAAATATCTTTGTATGAATTCTTTTCACAATCCCTATATTGGACAAACCCCTATATTGGACACTAGACACTACACTGCAAAGTTTCAAATAATCTTTCAATAATGTTGAATAATGCTTTGAAAAATGTTGGTAACAGAAAAATAATATGTCTTCCAACATAACAAATGCATCTAACCCAAATATTAAATTCAGGAAACCAGTGGCAATGTCTCATGCAGATAGAACGGACGCAACCGATAGAATCTAGGTGACTTATGACACCATTTGTGAGATGCGCTCACCAAACTACCTGACTTATCTATACCTGTTTAGAATGTCTTACTCATGTTATATTATTATACTGACACTTTAATAATTTTGTTATTAAAGGTAAATGTATGGGTATTTCATATTTTTTTTAATGTGGTTTCAATTTTGAACGTGAGATTTATATAATAAAAAATAATCTTTCTTCTACATATCTTATTACATTATTAATATTTCTAGGAATAGGAAAGAAAAATGTAGGGCTCAAAGATAATCAGAAAATAGTTTTCTTGAAATAAACTTAATCTTATTGATCCGCGATTGTAGAATCTAAGTGTTTTCCTTTCTTCTAGTAATAATCTCATCTGTATAAAGACGAATAGTCATTTAAGTATAATGCAGTATGTAGAGTATATTTTCAAGCAGTGCATATTGTAGTTACCAATAGAAGCGCTGTCCTGATTCCTGTATTTCCAAGGATATGAATGTCTGAGAGTTATTTCCGCGCCGTTGATCCTCGCGCTACATACTTTTTAAACATTTCTTGTATAGTCCGTGAGCCCTTTGTATAGTCCGTGAGAACTAACACGTTCCAGGACAGTTTTGTAGAGACGCTTCGGAACTTTGGTCGCTATTACGATCTGTTCCAATGGACTGAATTAAGATTACCTTTTTCATTTCATTTCATTTGGATTGTTCGGAATGTTCCTGTTATATATTGATTTTCATCCCATATTATTAACACAGTAAAGAGTTTGTGTTTATCATATTAAATGTTAGTCTCTTGTAACTATATTTATAATATTTATGCAATGTTGGACTAAATAATTAAATGAAAAATATAACTATGTATAAATTTAAAAAATTCTTTTACACGAGCAGGATTCGAACCCATAACATCAGTAATATCAGTAAAACATCTTCAATACAACACTATATATTGCCATATGCTAAATCAAAATGAAATTCCAATGTCTATTACAACCGTACCTGAAATCAACTAAAACGATGGCTAACTCATACAATTTTCCGGTGCTTCTGTATGAACGAAATTTTTCGCCAACTCCGCTACAACTACTCCTAAAATAAAAACAAAAACGAAATCTATGAAACGCTGCCAACTCTCAATTTTACGGAAACAGCTTCATCAATGAATTTGGACTAAGAATTAAAGAAGTTGAAATTATTTTGTTTCGATTCATTAATATCAGAATAGGAAAAAACGAGAAAAATATAAGTAACAACAAAAAAGTTTAAATAAAAATAAATATAATTAATCAACTTTTAGTCTATAAGTTTTTGATAGGGTATCAATAACGCTTAATGAGATCTTAAGGTTTTCGCGAGTTTTTTTAATTTAAATGAAACTAATATTTTTCGTATATACTACGCGGTTTATTTATCTAAAAAATTACATACACCCGACGTTTCGGCTACTTTTTACATCACAAAGTGCTAATGTAAACAAAATATTGATTTGAAATTTATAAATCTTTGAAATATAACTGAGCAAGCAGCAATCTGATTAATGTGAGTGTTATTTGTTCTCACAGAATCTAATGGAAAATAGAATATAGATTGCAGTGTGGTCTTTTCCTTTACTCAAACATGTGGAAAAATTGCTTCTCTCATATCATACAAGCTGTTACCCGTGACACAAGTTTTGCGGTCGTTGTATTAATTCTTATATTACTTTCTTAATATATGGTAGAGTTAACAATGTGTGACTTATTGCTTTACAAACTTTAGAATATAGATGTATAAAGAACTATTTCTAATGACACCATTCACTCATCATACATTCACTCTCATCATGTTCATGATTTAAGTTCGAAAAAACATTTTTGAAAATTAATTTTATTCTTTCTTCAAGACTTTGATAACTTTATACACCCAAGTATAATTCTTCGCTTCAGTTAATGAGTTTTATAACAATTAGAATAGAAAAAGTCAGTGTCATGATTTTAATTAACTTAGGATTTGAAAACGAAGTATGTTTTGTTTCTTACATTCATTTTGAGATTAACAGATACATTTAATATTATTTGAACCAAAATCAATGACAGTTTCATGTCACTTTACTTGTTAATATTTATTTTCTTATTTACTCATAAGAATTGAATTATATTTAAAAATATATTTAATTAACAACCGACGAACCATTTTACTCGCCACTTGTGAAAGTTATAAAAATTTATTGCTTACCTAAAAAATATTTCGAATGTTAGATAAAATTATAGTTTTATTGAATAAAGATAGTGATTATCGGATTGGTTTCTATTTAAATTTAACATACATGCAGTAATAGATACAATATTATTTCTAACATATCGTCGAGTATCTTTCAGCATTTCTTCTCTCAGTGTACATATTGTAAAGTTTCTAAACTTTTGTTCTCCGTTTTTTTTCCTTTCCGCTGATTACTCCCGACGTTTTTCCTGTCTTTGTCCGAATGCTTCTTATAGTTATATGTAATACAAGTCCACCTGTTTTGCCTTTTGGCAACAAACTAGTTCTTCATGAGTTTCTTGGCATCTTAAATGATTCTTGTTTGAATTGGAACCGTCTTTATTTTTAATTACTAAACTTTGAAGTTATTGGAGAGTTGCATTTTTAACTTAAAAACTTTTCGACTTTAATTAATTGTTGCTTTTAATTGGGTATTGGCAATGATATTTGTTGCACAAAGTATTTCAAGTTCTGTAGCGTTGTCTATATTAAAATTTGCGATAGTATCCTCACATAGATAACAGCTGTGAATCATGACACAATTTCTGCCAAAGTTTGTTAGTGATATACAAGTTATACAGGGTGACTGGTGAATTACTATCAATATTTAAGGAGAATACTCGGTACATGATTCTCATTCGAATTATGTAAAAAAAATAGGTACTTAATTTTTGACCAAATTTCCGTATAAATAAATAAAGTGTGGACACGTTCCAAGTGTTCCAAGTGTGGACGCGTGCGGCGGCGTCCTGATACAACACCACGCCGCCGCACGCGTATGTGTGAGTGTGTATGTATACCTAATCTGTAGGGTGTTCACACGATGCGTAATTAATTACATAACTTTTGGTTAACTTTACTCAGAAGTTTATTAATATTTATGTTATATTAATTTTTATTTTGTCATATATGATCGTCAAATATCACGTCCTCAAGTATCGATAGTAATTCACCAGTCACCCTGTATAGCAAGTGTTGTGTTTGTTGCAGGCAGACGAGAAATGAAACGTAAAAGGTGTGATTCGATCATCTCCTAGTGAGGTGTATGGTGCAGTAATGTGGGGCCAGGTCAGAACGATGCGCTACATACTCTTCTGTGTTCTCTCCCTCTCGCTCAATAGGAACCTCGCGTTCGTCCTCGACAAACAGAATCCCTACTCACAATTCCGCAAGTGGAACGCAGGCTTGAATGGTACCTTGGAGCTAGAATTCAAAACCGATCAGCCGAACGGACTGCTATTGTACACGGACGACGGCGGGACTTACGACTTCTTCGAACTGAAGCTGGTGAATGGAGCCCTCAGACTGAGGTACAACCTGGGCGGCGGGGCTCAGATTATAACGGTTGGAAACAATTTAAACGACGGCCACTGGCACAAAGTTCAGGTAACTTCGCCAATTTATGTCAACGATTACTTTGATTTATTCGGACCTTTATTTCTATTAGTTATTTCCGTTTCACTCCCACCTACCCTCCTCGCGTCGGTTTTAATAACTTTAACCTTTTGTATCGAACGATTAAAATTAATTAAGCTTATCGCTTACTATCGAATAGCTAAAATGATTTAACTTTCCAATTCAATGTGAGAGGATTTGTTGTAATATATATGATATGTAAGGTGGGTCGTCGCGATGAGCACACGTCTCTGTCAGTGGACGGCAGTACTCAGAGCAAGGCGTCCCGCGGCAAGGAGTTCGACTTCGGCAAGTTCAATACAAATTCAGATGTCTTCATCGGAGGGATACCGTCATCGTGAGTACTAAAACTTTATTTTTTACTCTTATAGGAAACTAGCTTTCCGCCCGCAGCTTCGCTCGCGTGGGATTCGGTTATTTCGTGTTTCCGAGAGAACCTTTTAATAGGTCAACTCTATCTCTGTACCAAATTTCATTAAAATCAGTTCAGTGGTTTAGGCGTGAAAGCGTAACAGACAGACAGGCAGACAGATTTACTTTCGCATTTATAATATTAGTAGGGATATCGTCGTATACTCTATCAAATCGTTTGCGTTTATGACATATCATTAAACGAATCCTACGCCATTCGTTTATAACTGGTATAATAAGTAATTGAAAGAATATAATTTTTCATTAAATTTAATAGTGAATTTATATCAACTTGCATCTTCCTCTACACTTTTGAACTACAGTATTTATTACCTAATGATCCATAGCCACATTTCCAATGATAACAAATCAATAAATACCTTCGGATTACTAATTACTGTAGTTTGTGAGGCTCCATTAATCTCTATTTATGTCTTGTGGGCAACTAATCAATTTCCTCGGAGCACTGGAACAGTTTCCAGAATAGATAGTCGTCTTCATTAAACAAATGGTGCTCTAAAGATATAGCCGTATTGAATAAACACAAATAATTACTAACGATTAATTGTTAGGTCCAAATCCTATTTGCTTTAGGTTAGGGAACCGGTTTTCTTGAACAAAATTTCCATTAATTCTTTTAAGACTTCTATTAACAGCCTTTGATATTCAATATATTGAAATATTCAACCTCATTCCGTTTCATTTTAACAGTCGCTGGCAAATTTCACGTTGAACTTTCCTTGGTGACTGTTTAAATAAACTTCATTGAAATGTTAACGAAACTTATATTACTAAACTCAGCCGTGAAGTCATATTAGAAAACTTATAAATTCGTCACGTTTCGTGCTGTTTTTATTATAAACTAGTTTTTGCCCGCGACTTCGTCCGCGTTAGTTTGGTCAAGAGTAATATATGTAGGTATAACTGACCAGGCAGTGGTGGCCTAGTGGTTAAAGGGCCCGCCTCTCGTTGCCGAGGGCGCGGGTTCGATCCTGGCCCGGGCAAGTACCAATGTGATTTTTCCGAGTCATATGTGCTTTCTAAGAGTATTTAGACATCACTAATTAATGTTGATTCCCAAAGAGAGGGTTGAGGTCAGGCAGGCGGCCGGTCGTAAAAACAAATAGCCAAAGCTATTCACAAACATGCAAGGCAGACCCTGGCTATAGCTGGGAAATTGCCAGGTAGAAGAAGAAGCTTACCAGGCAAACTCTATTCCGTCTTAGAGGCCATAAATAATCAGGTTTTTCCTGTTTCAATCAAACAGAATGATTGACATATTAGTTAGTTGTCAAATCTAATGTCAAAAAAACTTTTGTATGGAAAATAGAAAAGGGCTGTTTTTAGGGTTTTCCCGGCAATTATTCCAATTTTTCTCACCTTTTAAACCTTTCCTGGACTTCCAGGAGTATTTCAAGACTAAAATTAGTCAAATCGGTTCAGCCGTTCTCGAGTTTTAGCGAGACTAAGGAACAGCAATCCATTTTTATATGTATATAGAAGATATATTAAATTTTGGTAATGAGTTAGAATAATGTATAAAAGATCGATTTTAACTCGTTTTCAAGTCGATTAATTGTCAAATTGCAACCCTTTGACAATTAAGATGTCGATTTTCTTAAACAGCAACAAATTTGCCACAATAATAACTCAAGAACGCCTTCCTAGGGTTGAATGTTCTTTGGTGATTTATTTCTGAGTCGGTAGGGTTGGCACTTTAGGACAAAGGAAATACGTATAGCGGCTATTAATATCACCATATTAGGTTTTGCTCGTCTTGACCTCAACTAGTGCTATTAATGAAGCAAAAAGCTCTCAGCCTGACTTATGACGAAGGCTCTTTGGGTGTCAAACATCATAGTCATGGAGGCAGTAATACTCATACTATGAATACATGACATTAAAATCTTTTTTTATTTTCTCATAGTTCATACTTTTTTTGTTCTTCTAGGTCCCTAAGTTTAGTATTACGGCTGTCTTGTGTACTTTTCTATATGTGTTCATAAGACAAATAAATGAATTACCAATTTTTGGATTTAAACATAATTTAAAATGAATGATTAAAAAAAGCAGCATTCAAACAAGTTCCAATAACATTATATTTTATGTATTTCCAATTCTTGAATACTTCGTCAGTTCATTTGATTTAATCGTTATTCCTAAAGAATATATAAATACATTCCCAAGATCTGTTTAATCTTACTAATTCTTTAGTTAATTCTTACTTCTATATAAATAAATATGTATAAAATATTAAAAATATATATTTATAATACTATTTTGAGACCATAGTTTAAGTTTCTTCATTTTCCAATACTTTGTGTAGATTTAATTTAATGTTAATAACATCTAAGTGCACTCGTCTCGTGTCACTAACAAAAAATATGTTTAAACAAATGTTACTTACAACCTTCATTTATACGAATGTCAGTGGAATTAAATTTACAATGAACTTGTAATTTTCTCTTCAACTTTGTTTATTCCTTTGCAAAAACTAATTTGTTCTAGTACAAGGGGAATAGTGAAAAAGTACAATTCATTTGATTCCAGACACGTTTCAATTTACATTCAGCGACTGTCCCCCGGGGCGTATCAACTAGCTATGAATTATATCTACCTTCAACAATATTATGAATATTATTTAGTATTGTTTTATTAAGACTCTGGTGCATATAGCTCAGTGGTTAGAATGGCGGTAAACTGATGATGAGTTTGAGTTCGGTTCGATGTATCAGTTGTTAGAATAATATCATCATCATCAGCCTATCAGAGCTCATTAAGCAAAGACCTCTTCTCACATGGAGAATTGAGAATTAATCACCACGCTTGCTCAAAACGGGTTGGTGATTTCAATTACTTATAATTTCACAATTTATAATTGTGAAATTATAAGTCCGGGTTTCCTCACGATGTTTTCCTTCACCGTCTATCAGTGATGTCTAAATACTCACATAAAATACATTTGATTCGTAAAAATCACATTGGTGGATACTTGCCAGGTTTTGAATCCAAGCCCCGATGCACAAGAGGCGGACCTTTAACCTCTAAGCCACCACGACTATAATGTAAAACTATATGTTATCATAATATAACTCTGTACCGGTGCAGTACTCTAAATATGAACGTATATTTTTTACACTGTGTTTGTTTCTTTATGAGTATCGTAACTCGCCGGTCGCTGTATTTTTTATCGTATCTAATTATTATACTATGATTCACACCAGTTTTGTGAATGTTCTGAAAATATTATACGTATGATAATTATAAAACTTTAGTGTAAATCTTGAATAATACATTCTGTTTGTGGCTTCTAAGTCATTTATATAGTGTACTCCACTATAGTAAATATTATAAACGCTACCATATAAAAAGCCTTATTAAATACTATCAAAATTCTGTATTAATTTTAAAATAAAACTTTGTGCTACGAGATATTTGCTACGACTGCTACAGTTCTACGCGGCTACGATGCTACGTAGTTGCTACGGAAGCGTATTTATGGTTTCAATATATTTAATTAATAAAGTTTATTTATTAATGTTTTATTATAGTATTATATGAGGTACAGGCTACACAAGTGTATCTGTGTATCTGTATGTTAGAAGGTAGTTAGTGTTATTCCTGACCTACATGAGTAAGGTTGGAGTAAGTCCTAGAGCATTCTCGGGATGTCATCACGTTTCTTAAACGTTGCATCATATGTACCGTCAGCAACATAATAAATATTAGTTTATTCATATAATTTATATATTGTATATACTTTTTTTTAACTAAGTATATATTTCTAAAGTTGTAAGTACATAAACATTAAAAGTTATAGTTAAATATATAAAAGTATCTTAACATATTTTTATATTTGAATTTAAATGTAAAAAATATTTTAAAAGTAGGGAAAATTATATGAATTATTATTGCTTAATCATAGAGGTCAAATAGGTGTTGTTCAATGAATGAAAAATTATGTAGTAGTTGCAAAAAAATATTAATATGATGCTTATAACTCAAATTATTATTAGGTAAAGTCGTATGTAATTAGTTGTGTTGACGGTACATATAAAACAAACAGTTCTTAAGGCTGCAAGACAGCTAAGTACCTCCGTGACAGCCTTCCTTACAGAGAGACATATGAAAGATATAACATTGAAATAACTTACTTATAATTAGTGTATTCGAAAGATGAATTTAACATGAATTGTAGTATGGTAAATATACTAGCTGACCCGGAAAACGTTGTTTCCCATAAAAAATAGGGGTTGCTATAAAAAAGTAAAAATATTGGGTTATATTTTTTAACACTACATTATCGAAAATAAAAACAAAAAATTTTGTCCGAAATAAAAAATAACAAATGAAGGGTGAACCTTTACGACTTAGGGGTATGAAAAATAGATGTTGGCCGATTCTCAGACCTACTCAATATTTTCACAAAAGTTCATCAAAATCCGTCCAGCCGTTTCGAAGTTCTATTTCAAACACCGCGAAACGAGTATTTTATATATAAGATATATATGTATATTTATATGAGCTACAAACATGACCTTTATATGTACATACATCAAAGGATACCCGAAAATGCCTATTACACTGTGAATCCCTTGTTTGTTGACTTGTTTGCATATAAATTGAAATATATCCTCATTGTTATATACATACAGTAAATAAGGATATATTATAGGTATATTTACTTTTATATCTTATATAAATAACTTGTATATAATACAAATAATATTTGTTTAAAAAACTTTCTCGAAATGAGTGTATTACACCATTATATAGAAACAAACGAGCAAACTTTCACACAAAGATAGATCGTGTTTCAGAAAAACAATAATGTATAATAATTTAAACAAAACCAGAGGTCATAAACAACAATGACCATAACTCGGCTCGCTGCAAACATTAATGGAATACAGAATTAACAAAGGA